TTCCCCTTCTGGGGATGGAGCAATAGAAGAGCAGCTGGGGCATCTGCCTTGCATACAGGCGACCACAGTTAGATCCCTGGCATCCTATATGGCATCCCCAAGCACTGCCGGGAGTGATCCTTAAGAGTAGAGCCAGGAGTAAGCCCTGAGACCCGCCAGGTGTGGCCCCAAAAACAAACAAAAATTCCTCTTTAGAAAGACAGCTTCCTCTTGGAAGACAGCTTCAAGGGGGAGCACCTTGGTGTAGGCATGAAGATTTCCATCATCAACTTGTCAGTACCCCCAAACCAACCTCTCCTTCCCTCAGTCTCTTCTCCTTCCCTTTTTGTTTCCTTCTTTCTTTCCTTTCTCCCTCCCTCCCTCCCTCCCTCCCTCCCTCCCTCCCTCCCTCCCTCTCTCCCTCCCTCCCTTCCTTTTTTCCTCTCCCATCTCTTAGTTTTTGGTCTCTCCTTCTATTCATAATAATTAGGATTCTCAGATAGGGCATTTTATTGTTAAATTTCCCCCCACATTGTAGTGCCCAGAAAAAAACCGCAAAGAGAACACTGTGACTATGATCAGTGAGAAATACTTTGGTGCTCCATGTTCGTTGCAGCACTGTTCACAATAGCCAAAATCTGGAAACAACCTAAGTGCCCTAGAACAAATCACTGGTTAAAGAAACTTTGGTACATCTACACAATGGAATTCTATGCAGCTGTCAGGAGAGATAAAGTCATGAAATTTGCTTATAAGTGGATAAACATGGAGAATATGCTAAGTGAAATGAGTCAGAGAGAGAGAGACAGACATAGAAGGACTGCACTCATTTGTGGAGTATAGAATAACATATCATAAGGCTGACACTCAAGGGCAGTAGATACGAGGGCCAGGAGGATTGCTCCAAAGTTGGAAGCCTGCCTCTTGAGCAGAGGAGAGAAGGCAGCTGGAATAGCGAAGGGATCACTAAGAAAATGATGGCTGGAGGAATCAGTCGGGATGGGAGATGTGTGCCGAAAGTAGATAATGGACCAAACATGATGACCTCTCAGTGTCTATATTGCAAACCATAGTGCCCCAAAATAGAGAGAGAGAGTATGGGGAATATTGTCTGCAATGGAGGCAGGGGAAGGGTGAGGAAGGGGGGTATACTGGGGAGATTGGTGGTGGGGAATGTGCACTGGTGGAGGGATGGGTTTTTGATCATTGTGTGACTTGTAACATGAAAGCTTGTAACTTTCTCAACATGAAAGCTTGTAACTTTCTCATGGTGATTCAATAAAATTTTTTTTAAAAAAGAAATACTTTGGTACTCTTAGAAAATATAAGCTGACTTAAGGGAAGAGCTCATGAAATAGAAGAAGGAAAAAGGACGAATTCACAGAAGAATTCACAGAATGCAAGAGAGAAAAACAATGAGTTCACACCCACTTGGCACACCATCCCTTTGGCCAACCTATTTGGTCAGCTGGGAATAGACATCTTCATTTACATAACCCCTGGCCTTTCTGTTACAGGACTGGGGTGTGATTTCCATATGAAAGGAGGAGGAAAGGCCCACCAATACCCAGCAGCCAAGGCACTGGAGAGTTTCACTAAAGGGGCTTCTGTTGGCTTTCATCTCCTGCAATCATGCAGGATGACCTGATGTGGGAACTGTGTGTGTGGCAGGTCAACCATTAGCCACACAAGTGATCCCTAAAGATTCTCTAAATGAATGTGATATTCATGATATATATGTTATATATCATAAATATCTATATAAATATGTATAATTTATGATATATATTATAAATATCACATTCATTTTGGGCTGGAGCGATAGCACAGCAGGTAGGTCGTTTGCCTTGCACGCAGCCTACATGGCCGATCCGAGTTCAATTCCTCCGCCCCTCTCGGAGAGCCCGGCAAGCTACCGAGAGTATCTCACCCATATGGCAAAGCCTGGCAAGCTACCTGTGACATATTCGATATGCCAAACACAGTAACAAGTCTCATGATGGAGACGTTACTGGGCCCACTCAAGCAAATCAATGAACAACAGGAGGACAGTGACAGTGACAATGACACATTCATTTAGAATCTCTTTAGGGATCACTTATGTGGCTAATGGTTGACGAGTTCTTCCACTGGTAATGCAGAGATTAGGGAGCCAGCTCTGCCTTGCAGAAGCCTGCAGGCAAGGAACTGCACCTAATCTTGGCATCCTAGATGGCAGAGCAGCACACTGCTTTGTCATTCACCTAAAGAGTGTCAGAGACATGAACAGTTGGATCAATAACTAGTTCTTGCAGTGATTTTCCATGCTTAAAACTCACCTTGGTCACCAGCCAAATGTCAGGGGAAACCAAAGCACGTTTCTCTTGGAGTCTGTGAGGGCCAGGATACTTTACCGGTAGGAAGTGATGACAGGAAAGAAACTGAGCACAATACTTCATGGAGTTCAAGTCAAAAGGACGTCAGAAAGGACAAATCAGCCCTGAAGTTAACCTCCACATGGGAGACATGGTTTACTAGGAAAGAGAAAATTTCACATCTGAATAAACATAAGTGGTTAGGAGGTTTAAATTTTCATTGAAAAATAGTTTTTTTTTTTTTCTGGAGAGGGGGTTACTAAATTCACACTCTTTACATTTTTACTTAAAAAAATGGAACTCACCAACTAAATAGGTGACAACTCATTTGCAGTTCTTCTGGCTGTGACTGAACCACAGAGGAGAGGAAATTGCCTTCTCCTTTACATCTAAAAGCTACTTTAAGATCATGATCACAGTTTTTGATATTTGAATCTCCTCTGAAGAACAATATAGTGGCAGGATGCATGTCTGAGGCTTTGGGTTGGATCTCTGGCACAGTGAAATACTTAAATACAATAAACTTCAAAAAAAAGAAAAGAAAAGAAAGGCAGAAAACTAGAACAATGTGCAATGCTCACCTCAGCTCGGTTAAAAAACATGCAAATAGAAATAATCATTACTCTTACTATAATTTCAAAAGGCTGCATATTGTTTTTAATACTGCATATTAAAATACTGCATTATATTTGCTACATTTTATTAATACTGCATTTTAATTGATGCATATTGTTTTTAATAGTGAAAGCTTTTTTGTTTTTTTAAAGTCAAATGGAAAAACACTCAGCTGCTCAGTGAGGCAGAGTTAAAATATTCTGCAAAAACAGCATTTATAGTACTGGCAGAACCCTTGGGCTCCCAGTTTATGACCACGTAGCTAGTGGGCACAAGACAGGTGTATTGTTGCAGATTCAAGGCCCAGAAAGGGAATTTATTTTTAGTTTTAGTTTTTAACAATAAATGTTTCATGGAAAATCATTTTTATGGTAACCAACTAAAGCGAACTAGACAATTGTGCAGAGCAGAGTCGATACCTGCCTCTGAGTCTTCCATGAGTCTTCCCGTGACAGCTTCCCGGCACATCATTTCTTTTCCACTTAGGTTTTATAGTTTTATAGTAGATATCTTTAGGTTTTATAGTAGATATCTTGGTTTTCTGGCAGTACCTTGGAGATTTGATAATCAAATGAATTCCAGCCCACAAAGGAATCTGGTAAACCCATGCCACTTTGGCTTCTGGGGACAGGTTCTGCCAAAAGTGCAGTCTTGTTGAATATTTTCCCTACCAGGTTAGAAATTCCTTGCTTAAATTTCAGTTTTTTTATCTTTATATTCAGACATCACACCATCTGATATCTACAGCAACTGTTATCTTCCTGGGATGGGAGGGGGGTCGTGTTTATTAATTTTCATCTCATGCTTCAGTTTTTGTTTGTTTTTGTTTGAGGGCCACATCTGGTCATGCTCAGAGGTTTCTCTTGCCTCTGGACTCAGGAATTACTCCTGGTGGATGCCAGGAATTGGACCAGGTTGGCCCATGTAAGGCAAACGCTCTATCTTCAGTACTATAGCTCTGACCCTCAGTAGATCTCATTTTGAACACAATAGCCAAGTTCTGGAGGAAAAGTAGCTTGTGGTAATACAAAGCAGCTCAGTAACCCCACCCACTGCCATGCAAATATGTGAATTGTGTGAATGTGGCAGGTAAGTGAGTATGTGCAAGTGGGTTTGTGAAAAAAATGTGTGCATTAATGTGTATGTTTGCAAGTGTTTTTCTATGCATATGCATTTGTGCGTTTTGTGTGAATGTGCTATGCTTTTGTGTGTTTGTGTGTGATACTTAGGATGATCTGCCAGTGTGAGCATGTGATTGACCAGAAATGTGCAAGTGTGGATATATTTGGCCTCGTGTGTGAGTATTTGTGCACTGTTGGTATGAATATGTGTATTCGGGGGTAAAGCCGTGCGTGGATGGGTGTTCATTGGAGGGGCGTCCGTGTATGGTTTCTGTGTGTAAATGTGTTCGGGTGAGTATCTTAAAGTGTGCATGTGCGTTAGCTTATTTGTGGCTACGGGCACAGTTTTATTTTATTGCGTGGCCTGCACACTGTGAGTGTGTATGTGCGAATGGGTATACTCTGCTCGGCTCAGTACGTGCATCATGTGCTTTGGAGCGAAAGCATGTGTGCGTATGAACGCGTAGTTTGTAGGAGTAGGAGCGCTGTGTGTGAATTTGCTCCAGCGGGCGCGTTGGCGTGGTGTGAGTGTGCGCCTGGCGCGCCTCTGCCCGCGTGGCCGCGAGTGTGTCCATGTGCGCGTGTGAGCGCGTCCGCCTCGCGGCGATCGGCCCCGGCGCGGAGCGCGGGAGCGGGCACGGTGGCGGCTGTCCGCGGCGGGCCGGGCGGGCTGCGCCACCGTCACCGCAGGCGCGCCGACTTTGCCCTTTAAATCGGTCTCCGAGCCGATTACAGCTGATCTCCCACGTGACGTTTTACCTTCTGTCTCCGAGAGCGAGTTGCCCGAGGACAATCGTCCTTCGGCTGCCGCGCGCCGCGGGGGGCTCCGGCACCATTCACTCCGGCGCGCTCCCGGGGCCGCTCTGCCCACGGGCGTCGGGGGCCCGGGGGGCTCGGCGCGGCCCGGAGCGGCGCGTGGGCAACGGGGGGCGCTCTGCGGCGGCCGCGAGCGGAGCGGGTGCGCCCTCGATGGCCCGGACGCAGGGCTGAGCCCCCCGCGCCCGCACCATGCAGAAGAGCGTGCGCTACAACGAGGGGCACGCCCTGTACCTGGCCTTCCTGGCCCGCAAGGAGGGCACCAAGCGCGGCTTCCTGAGCAAGAAGGCGGCCGAGGCGAGTCGCTGGCACGAGAAGTGGTTCGCCCTCTACCAGAATGTGCTCTTCTACTTCGAGGGCGAGCAGAGCGGCCGCCCGGCCGGCATGTACCTCCTGGAGGGCTGCAGCTGCGAGCGGGCGCCCGCGCCTCCCCGTGCCGGCACGGGGCCCGGAGGTGCCCGGGACGCGCTGGATAAACAGGTACCGCGCGCCCTCCCTCCCCGGTCTCCCCGCCGCGGCCCCGAGCTCCGCTAGGATGCCACGGGACGCGGGATCCGTGCCCCCCCACCCCCCAGACCTGCTTTCCCTTTGCGGTGTCGGTGGCAGAACGTTTTCACGGAGCAGAACGTTTTCTTGATCCCGCATCCCCCTGTACTCCTCCACCTCCACCCCACCCCTTTTCTCCCACATCTCCAAGGGATCGATCGGTTGGAATCGGGGCTTTACTACTTCGTGTTTGTGAGCACCCTGAAATCGGGCAGGTCGTTGCTAGCGTTCGCGGTTCCGCTGCTGTGGCTTCTAGAGACCGGGTGCGGAAGGATTGTGTGCGGTGACTGGTGTTAACACCTGTTGGATGCAGATGGGCGAGACGCAACGAACTTATTTGGGAAAGTTTGGTTTCTCCTTACCAGGCTAGTGCGTGTCGGTTTCTTTGCCTGCAGCTGTTTGATCTGGCTGTCTGGGAGCGACCGGGTTCCCAGAACCGACGGGCATTCTCTGTGGGTCCATTTTCAGTTTGTCTCTGTGGTTTATAGCAGTTTACCTGGCTAACATTTGACCTGCGGGGTCTAATTATGGAGGTAAGTGTGTAGCCATTTCCCTCGGGATTATTATTTGGTAGCCGCCACCCTGCTATGTTTAAACTCGTGGGCATTTTAAAAAGAACGCTCTGTATGCTTTTCAATGAATGCTTTGAAAATGAATGTGACCTTTCCTTCTGGGTCAGAATTTTATTCGTTTTTGCTATACGCACTTGGAGGAAGAAACCATCTAGATTTAGTAACGCCCACTCCCTGTTTCTGCTAATGGGAGATGGGTGTATTTTTTTTTTAAATCACCACTTGGTCATTTAAGTTAAAAAGACTAATTTTTATGCTTCCAAATATTCTCACTTTGCTTCTAAATCTCCACCGAGGAGGGAGAAAAGGGCTTGTTTGTCTTTGCTGCTTCATAAAAATACTTCGCAGCAGAATTTTCCGTGAAAATTCGACCGAACAGCTTCTATGCAGAGGGCGGCTGTGGGAGGCGCTAGTGATGGAAAGATGAGTGCCATGCCAGCAACCTCTGCGGGCTCATAAAACAATGTGTAAAATTAAGAGGAATCCAAACCAAATCAACCAGAAGTTAGGCTTTCCCACTTTGGTTTCCCACCATCAGCCATTAACAGACATAATTGCTTGAACTTGTTATAATGCTTACAAATCTGAAAGTTAGACTCTCTTTGGATTTTTGAGGAGTACTTGAGAATTATTTGCAAAGCTGATTGCAGATTTTGTCAGATACTGGAATTGTAAGTTTAAATTTTAAGTCCTGGAATTTATAATTTAAATTGAGGATGGGAGAAGGTTTTGAGAAACAGACTTTTCTCCATAATCGTTTACATCTTCTCTTCTGTTGTTGTTCATTAAAGATGCATTCCAAAGCTCCACAGGTCCAAAACTAATAGGCTTTTATGCTTATTATGTATAAAATAAAATAAGATATTTAAAATTTATTTTTTTGTCTGTATTTATACTAGTATGGAGAGATATGCACTTTGAGCTGAGGGTGGATAGATGTTACTTGTTGTAACTTATATTGTAGTCTGACTCTTGATACATGAAAACCAACTTTTTTCTATTTGGAAAAATATATAAACTCTAATCTTCAAGAGAGTTTTTTAAAGCCATACTTCAAAGAGAAGCAACCTCTTCTGATGCGGTTGGGGTTAGGGATGGGTGATGGTGTTGGCACTGAGGAACCAAATGCCAAGTGTGTACTTCAGTCCTTTGAACCATTATCTCTCTGGCCCACACCACTTTCTGATGGAAGTTTTAAGCAAGGCATCTTATAAAAACGTTTCCTCCTTCTATTTATCATCATACAACTTCTGGGCATTTAGTAATCATTTTAGATCTCTCAATGAGGTTAGAAATGAGAACTTTTGGTAGTGTGGATGATGCTAGCACAGAGAGAAGCATTCCAAAATGGACTGGGGGTTGGGAAACCTGTCAGATTTTGACTTATGTTATACTCGCTTCTGTGATTTGAGTTAGCTTGCTAGACTGATGCTTTGCCCCAGCATGGGGCCTGTCTGTATATGCTTGAAGGATTAAGAAGAAACTGCCAGGAAAAGAAGCAAGAGAAAATATTCTCCCTTAAATCTGCTGCTTTGCTGTCGGTCCCCTTTCAGTTAATTTGTGCTGCTAAAATGCTCAGGTCATTTTAAGCTCAGAGATGTGTTTTTCTGTGACACTGGGGGGAGGTTGAAGGCAGGTAGGACGGACTGAGCAGGCATCATCTTAAAGTCTTGTTTCCCCAAATATGCTTTTGGAACTTTCCACCACACAAGTATATCTATCATACACATAGTTGAAGGTTAGGATTTGAAACAAAATTTTGGGAGACAGAGTCTGCTTCTTCTACCATATTTTTGCGTGACTTATTTAGGCAAATTTCTAAATGTTTCCTTTTTTTCTTCTTCCTTGTTAAATAGATGTTTTTGAACTGGAGAAATTAAAATTTTTGAGGCAGCCAGAGAGATAGTACAGGGGTTTAGCCTTCTTGTCTTGCATGCACCTGACCCCTGGTACCGCATTTGTTCCCCTGAGTACCACCAGGAATGATCCCTGAATGCAGAACAAGAAGGAAGCCCTGAGCACTGCTAGGTGTGGTCCCCAAACGAAAACAAAACAAAAAGAGTTTGGTTAAGATGACTTCCAGGTTACTTACCAATAAGGACAACTTCTGTTTCTAAGGTGATATATATTAAGTGGTGTGAGATTTTTGACTATGTAGAGGATGTGAAAAGGCTATTTCACAAGATTGAAAGAGGATCGATTTCTGCAATGAAAACTGCATTCGAGCAGCTAAAAGCAAGCAGGTGACTGGAGTGACAGTACTGCTAAATTGGCTGGCTCAGTGGATGTGAACACCTATAGGAACATGGTCACTTGAACAAAGGGATTTGTGACCTTTCACATTGTAAGGCAAACATACTGCATGTTGTTAATTGTCACCACAGTTGGTATAATTCTTGCATGAAATGCCTCTAGTGATTCTTGTTAGTTTAAGTCTACTTCTCCTGGAAATAGGTAGGTAATTCCTATGAAGAAAATATCATCGGATTGCTTAATCTAAATAATAATTCAAAGTGAATTGATTAAGGGCTGAAGACATCATACAGCATTGAGGTGCAGTTGCCAACCCTAGTTTGCTTTCTGGCAGTGCATGTTGCCCAGGAGTGACACCTTCCACTCTCCCCAGCCCCAGAGTACTGCTGAGGATGACCATTCTCCCTCAAGACCAACAAAATAAGTTGGCTGACAAAAGAAAATAATTAAAGTAGACATTTATTTATTTTCATTTGTCTTAAACAGTTGCCAGCTAGCAAGGGAAAAGAGAGGCATTTTTCACTTTCCAAGTATGCCTAAGTTGAAGGAATATTTATTTGCTCTATTTTCTCAAGTGCCCCCAAATTTCACTTTGGTGAGTGAAAAGTGAAAACTTGGACTCTAGGCTTTCTTCCACAGTTGTTCCTTTTAGGGATAGTGATAGAGATGTACTAAAATGGGTGCAGTGAAAAAAATTTAAGTGATACATCCTTTTTTTTTTTTTTGAAAATGTGTGTGGCTGTTACTTCTTTCAAAAGAAACCCAGTTGTGTAAAGTGGAAAACCCACTTTTCAGTCCAGGTGGTTAAGGTAGAGGGACTTCTGTGTATGGGTAATGCCTTATCCACATCAGGCATCAGGCTAAGTATTATTCTTCATGATTTTGTGTAATATAGGCCTCACTTCAGCTCTTGAAACTTAGTACATATTCCTCTATTTTTACCTGTGCTAACTCTGGCATTCACAGAGTTCTGGGGAGATAATAAAAATCAGACTCCACTTATGAAGACTGAGTTATCTTGAAGAGACACTGAGGTGACTATTGAAATCTATTGAGTTACAAGAAATTTCAAATGTAGGGAGAATGGGAAGTAGGGGGCATAGATAGAATGTGAATTATTCTGTTTACTCTGATTTGCCTTCAGAAAATAAAGGAGAGTTACTATTCTTTTTTTTTTTTTTTTGCGGGTAGGGGGGTTGTTTGTTTGGTTTTTGTTTGGCAGGGCTCAGAAGACCATATGCAGTAACAGGATTGAACCCAGACCAGTTGTGTGCACCTTGCCTGCTGTACTGTCTAGCTCTCTGGTCCCAGTTGCTATTCATAAGAAAAACAATTACAATTACATTTTATGCAGGAAAATATGATTTCTATTTTGTTAGGTTTGGGCAACACACAAGCAGTGCCAAGGGGACCATGTGTTGGTGTTGAGATTGAACGCTGACTTCTCACATGCTTCACATGTGCTCAGCCTCTTGAACTGTCTCTCAGGCACTAGGATTTATGTTGCACAATTAATTTTACATGCCATCAGTTTATTTCAGTGCTGAAAAAAGACTTTAAAAGTCTTTGTATTTAGAGTGAATATACATACACATCCCAATTAGTCTCATCTATTTAAATGGCTATATCCTGTCTTGCCTATTTTGTAGGAGAGACATATAGGAACAAAACCATCTTTGTTCTTATTTTCCTGCTAATTTAAAATGTTCTATTCATTCTGATTTCAGTTGTTTTTAGGGGAAAAAAGCTCTATAGTTCTAAAGGTTTAAACTAGAGACTTTTAATATTTGTGCTGAATTAAGTATATTGATTTAATCTCAGGGGGATGTAAATTATGTAATTTCCCCTATCACCTCATCATTGTCTGTTCATTTCAGTCTTTTTGCATTGATCACAGGCAGAATTAGGCAGAATTGCATGCAGTCTCTAAAATATTTGTGGAGGGTGGGGTATGTAGACATAAATTTTCAATTTTGTTAATATTGCTCCATTGTTGTATAGCAATTGTCAGGAGTGATTCCTGAGTGCAGAGCCAGGAGTAACACCTGAGCATTGCCAAGTGTGGTCCAACCTTCACCCTGCCCCTCAAAAATGAATTCAGCATCGCCA